GGGGAAGGGGGGGGGGGGGGGCGCTGATCCCAACCGAATGACCGGCTGCATAATTATGACTTTGTTTCCCGAGTGTGCTAACAACGCGAGAATAACCAGCCATTGGATAATGTTGGATTAACGAGCACGTTCGGTTCTCATCTCACGCATCGACTCCGCTCCTTCGGTTCTCTTATCAGTTTCGATCGGTCGCACGGCCCAGCAGGTACAGCAGGTACAGCCGGTACAGTAGTAGGTACAGTAGGTACTACAAATACGAGACACACACGCACACGGGACACCCGAGCCCAAATCCGATTCCAATGACGACCCCCCGCGCAAAGGCAGAATCACGATAAATCCAAGATAAGGCGACGGAGCGGAAAGAGGAAAGCGGGAGAAGAAAAACAATTGGAAAGTAAATTGAGAATAGGATTAGTATAGCTGCGTCCTAAAATGGAGCTGCAAACGCGCAGATAGTTCGCATGGCGTCTGTTCTTCTTATTATTATATATATGAAAAAGATTTCATCAATCATAAATCTATCCGAGGTCTAGCAATATAGAAATCGCTCTGAAATACAACTCATAAGACTGATCCATACTGTCAATAATACGTGTTTCGCTTACTTTTAAAGCAGAGAGATAAAGTTGAAAGTCTACGTAGATCTGCTGTAGACTCTCCGTCTGTGCAAATCTGCATAGACGTCGAATTGATGTATATCTTTTTTAAACTAGCCTAGAAACGTAATATACGTTTATATGCAATACAATATAAATCAGTCTCGTGGGTCGTACTTCGGAAGGACTTCTATTGTATGGATAGACCTTGGATGGATCAGTGATTGATAAAATCTTTTTTACATGAACGCGTCTATGCTACAGTCACGTGCAGAGACAGGAAGATCGTACCTTCGTGGGGAACGCTGCTCTTTCGATGCTTCCGCCGTCGAAGACGATCGTATAGATTTCGACCACCGGTGAATTTATTCGGATCGAGAATGTTCTCGACGGAGAAGGCCAGCCCTCGCTTATTCGATTGGACGGCGCTGGCCGTGGTCGTCAACGTTCCCGCAGTGGCGCTCGTGGACGTGGTGCAGCTCACGTTTGTGCTGTTAGTAATGTCGACGTTGATGCCACTGACTGCGCTCGTGCCGATCCTGTGTTCTTGAGGTAGGATGCCAGAGAGCGTCATTGCCGTGACAGACGCCGCTGCCGTCGCGCCAGATTCGTCGGCGTTGCTCCCGGAAAAATAATCGACGACCGGAGTGACACTTGCCTGCAAGCAGGCAAAAGCATGAACACCACGATTTCCCAGAGGATGGAAGAAGCCTGTAGCGGCGCATCGGGACGAGGCCGTCAAATCGACCGGACTGCTGGGGCTGCTTCCTTCCGTTGATCGACAAACTTCCACTTCGATTTCCATGTCTTCCTCCTCTTCCTCAATCTCGTCCTCGTCCTCATTCGCATCGTCCTCCTCATTCGCGACTGCTTCGAGCGACATCTCCTCCTGC